GGCAACGGAGAGCAATATGATGTTCAATGAAGACAAATTCCACCAACTCCGTTATGGAAAACTGGAGGAAATAATAACTAGGACTGAGTATACTACAAACTTTGATTACACAATAGAGCGGAAAAGTAATGTGAAGGACCGGGGAGTGGTAATGTTAGCGTGGGGTGTTACAAAGCACCATGGCTTGTTGTAGTGTTTTAGAATCTCAGGTTAGTTAAAGTGTTGAAGAAGGAGGTTCTACCTCTTCAGGAGGAAAATAGGAGACTGAAGCTTCGCTTAGATGAGTTTGGGAGCGAGTGTGAGAAGGATTTAGCTGGTAAGGAGGAAATAGTCACTAGCAGTGATAGTGGCAGCCGCTTTAAGTGGCAATTGGTTTACAGTTCAGGAAGAGGGAAGATAAGGAGGGTTAACAGAGAAGTTGTGAAGGTAGGAAATCGATTCTCTGTTCTCCAGGACGAGTGCAAATCAGTGGTTAGTGAAGTTAAAGGTACCACTGATTCCCCTGCTAATCAAGGTAAGAATATATTAATAGTAGGAGATTCTCAGGTAAGATATATGGACTGTGCTTTTTATAATAGAGACGGGAAGGTCAGACAGAGAGTGTGCCTTCCAGGAGCTGGTGTCGGTGGCATAGTCAGCAGGTTGGATAATATTATGTCAGGTAATGGGAACAAGCCCATTATCTGTCTTAGTGCTGGGGATAATGACACTGGGAAGGGCAGGAGACAGGAGCTGCTGGATAAGTACAGGTCAGCCATAGACGTAGTTAGGTCTAAGGGAGGGATCCCAGTCATATATAGCATCTTCCATAGAAAGGGAGTGGGCAATGAATAGATGTCTAGGGCAGTTGGTATAAATTGCTGGCTAGACAGGTACTGCAAGGAAATTGCAATTCCATTCATTGATAACTGGAACCTATTCTTTGGCTAAAGTGATATGTAGGGGATGGGCAATTAAGAAATCAATATATTCAATTAAAGAGAGAAATAAAGAAAGGAATAAGAAAAACAAAAAGGGATTATGAGGCTAAGGTCGCAAGGGATTATGAGGCTAAGGTCGCAAGGGATTATGAGGCTAAGGTCGCAAGGGATTATGAGGCTAAGGTCGCAAGGGATTCAAAGACTAACCCAAAAGGGCTCTTTCAGGTATACAGAAGTAAGATTAGGGACAAGATTGGCCCACTTAAGAGTAACTCAGGTCAGATCACTGACAGTGATATGGATATGTGTGAAATTTTCAGTACCTACTTCGTCTCAGTTTTTACCCAGGAAAATACTTGCGATATTCCTGAAATAATAGATTATGTAGAACAGGACGATTATAAACTATGCACGATTGCAGTAACTAGTGACATGGTCCTCAGACAAATAGAGAAACTAAAACCTAACAAATCCCCAGGCCCTGATGAACTGTTTGCAAGGGTGTTAAAGGAATGTAAAGAGGAACTTAGCACACCTTTGGCTAATCTTTTTAGCATATCACTACAAAGTGGCATAGTGCCTGATAAGTGACAGGTGACAGGTCCTTGGCTTTGAACTATAGACCAATAAGCCTTACCTCCATAGTGAGAAAATTTATGGAATCAATAATTGCCGAAGCAATTCGTAGCCATCTTGACAGGCACAGATTGATTAATGAATCTCAACACAATTTTACAAAGGGGTGTTCCTGTCTTACGAATTTACTAACATTTTCCTCTAAGGTGTTTGAGGAGGTAGATCAAGGTAATGAATATGATATTGTGTATATGGACTTCAGTAAGGCTTTCGATAGAGTTCCACATAAGAGGCTATTGAGGAAACTTAAGGCACACGGAATAGGAGGAGAATTTTTTTTCCTTGATAGAGGCATGGCTGACAAATAGGCAGCAGAGAGTTTGCATAAATGGGGAGAAATCAGAATGGGGGCACGTCACAAGCGGTGTTCCTCAGGGGTTAGGGTTGGGCCCGTTGTTGTTTACAATTTACATAAATGACATAGATGAGGGAGTAAATAGCGACATAAGCAAATTTGCTGATGACACCAAAATAGGCCGTCCAATTCATTCTAATGAGGACACTAGAGCACTCCAGGATGATTTGAATAGACTGATGCAATGGTCGGAGAAGTGGCAGATGCAGTTTAATATATACAAATGCAAAGCTCTAAATGTTGGACAGGAAAATAACCATGCCACATATAAACTAAATAATGTAGATCTTAATACTACTGATTGCGAAAAGAATTTAGGAGTTCTGGTCAGCAGTAATCTAAAACTAAGACAACAGTGCATTAGTGTTCACAATAAAGCAAACAAAATTCTTGGCTTCATATCTAGAAGTATAAATAATAGAAGTCCTCAGGTTGTTCTTCAACTCTATATATCCTTGGTTAGGCCTCATTTAGACTGCGCTGCTCAGTTCTGGTCACCGTATTATAGAATGGATATAAATGCTCTGGAAAACGTACAGAGGACGATGACAAAGATGATCCCATGTATCAGAAATCTTCCCTAAGAGGATAGACTGAGGGCGCTGAATCTGCACTCTCTCGAAAGGCGTAGAATTAGGGGGGATATGATGGAGGTGTATAAATGGAAAACAGGAATAAATAAAGGGGATGTAAATAGCGTGCTGAAAATTTCCGCCCAAGACAGGACTCGCAGCAATGGTTTCAAGTTGGAAAAATTCAGATTCAAGAATGATATAGGAAAGCACTCGTTTGGTAATAGAGTTGTGGATGAGTGGAACAAACTCCCGAGTACAGTTATTGAGGCTAAAACGTTGTGTAGTTTTAATAATAGGTTAGATAAATACATGAGTGGGTGTGGGTGGGTTTGAGCTGGAATTGACTAGCTTGTGCTGCTGGATCTGGTGCCTTGCTCCATCCTTGAGTGGAGGTGACCAGATTGGGTGGGTCATTGGGCTAATCTTGGGGGTCATTGGGCTAATCTTGGGGGACATGGACCTGCTCCACATGGGTCAGTAGGCCTGTTGCAGTGTCCTTTCTTTCTTATGTTCTTATGTTCAAGGATTACAACAGTTCAACTATCACATCTACGAGGAAACTGATAGAATGGATAATTAGAACATTCAAGACATAATATGCCAAGCTACTGATGATCCTTTTTAAATCACTTGGCTTTAAATCCAAGGAGGCTTAGGAAAGGTAGGGGGTGTGTGGACCAGGTGTTTACAGTGAAACATATAAGTGAACAGTATTTAGATAAGGCTAAAGAGGTTTTTGTGGCATTTATGGATTTGGGAAAGGCGAATGACAGGGTGGATAGGGGGGCAATGTGGCAGATGTTGCAGGTGTATGGTATAGGAGGTAGGTTACTGAAAGCAGTGAAGAGTTTTTACGAGGATAGTGAGGCACAAGATAGAGTATGTATAGCTGGAGTTTACCTGGAGAGAGTTCCGGGGGTCAATGCCCCCGCGGCCAGGTCTGTGATCAGACCTCCTGGGGGATCAGAGCTTGATCAACCAGGCTGTTACTGTTGGCTGCACGCAAACCAACGTACGAGCCACAGCCCGGCTGGTCAGGAACCAACTTTAGGTGCTTGTCCAGTGCCAGTAAAAGTAGGCCTTAGACAAGGATGTGTGATGTCACCGTGGTTGTTTAATATATTTATAGATGGGGATGTAAGAGAAGTAAATGCAAGGGTCTTGGCAAGAGGCGTGGAGTTAAAAGATAAAGAATCACACATAAAGTGGGAGTTGTCACAGTTGCTCTTTGCTGATGACACTGTGCTCTTGGGAGATTCTGAAGAGAAGTTGCAGAGGTTGGTGGATGAATTTGGTAGGGTATGTAATAGAAAATTATTAAAAGTGAATACAGGAAAGAGCAAGGTTATGAGGATAACAAAAAGATTAGGTGATGAAAGATTGGATATCAGATTGGAGGGAGAGAGTATGGAGGAGGTGAATGTATTCAGATATTTGGGAGTGGACGTGTCAGCGGATGGGTCTATGAAAGATGAGGTGAATCATAGAATTGATGAGGGGAAAAGGTGAGTGGTGCACTTAGGAGTCTGTGGAGACAAAGAACTTTGTCCTTGGAGGCAAAGAGGGGAATGTATGGGAGTATAGCTTTACCAACGCTCTTATATGGGTGTGAAGCATGGGTGATGAATGTTGCAGCGAGGAGAAGGCTGGAGGCAGTGGAGATGTCATGTCTGAGGGCAATGTGTGGTGTGAATATAATGCAGAGAATTCGTAGTTTGGAAGTTAGGAGGAGGTGCGGGATTACCAAAACTGTTGTCCAGAGGGCTGAGGAAGGGTTGTTGAGGTGGTTCGGACATGTAGAGAGAATGGAGCGAAACAGAATGACTTCAAGAGTGTATCAGTCTGTAGTGGAAGGAAGGCGGGGTAGGGTCGGCCTAGGGAAGGTTGGAGGGAGGGGGTAAAGGAGATTTTGTGTGCGAGGGGCTTGGATTTCCAGCAGGCATGCGTGAGCGTGTTTGATAGGAGTGAATGGAGACAAATGGTTTTTAATACTTGACGTGCTGTTGGAGTGTGAGCAAAGTAACATTTATGAAGGGGTTCAGGGAAACCGGCAGGCCGGACTTGAGTCCTGGAGATGGGAAGTACAGTGCCTGCACTCTGAAGGAGGGGTGTTAATGTTGCAGTTTAAAAACTGTAGTGTAAAGCAACCTTCTGGCAAGACAGTGATGGAGTGAATGATGGTGAAAGTTTTTTTTTTCGGGCCACCCTGCCTTGGTGGGAATCGGCCAGTGTGATAATAATAAAAAAATAATATATATATATATATATATATATATATATATATATATATATATATATATATATATATATATATATATATATATATATATATATATATATAATATATATATATATATTAAAATTCACCGTTGTTGTATATAAGGATATTTGGTAAAGGAATCTTAGAAACTTTGTTTGAATTTTATTGACACTCAGAATTGCCACACAGTAACGAAGATATCAAGTTACATGTTTCACAGAAATAAAAATATAATCTAAGTACAATCGGCCTACAGCTGGAACCATATTCAATTATACATATTGGGGCGTGACTCGCGAATTCGTAATGACACGATTGGAAACAAACCATGCCACGGGCGGGGATAGAACCCGCGATCAGAGAGTCATAAAACTCTAGGCCGACACGCTAGCCACTGGGCCAGCTGGCTACAATAAGATTCATCCAACTAGGTATATTTATACACCATAGGAAGGTTAGCATAGGCACCAATGTGACCACAAATGCAAGTGTGGTTTGTCTGGGGCGTGGCTCTGTTGAAAATATGAATAATTAAAAAAATATATGAAGCTTTAAACCAGGGTGGGTCATTCAGTAGTAAGAAAAAAAAAAGTTGGGTTCTCCCTGTCCTTCAATAGTGAAACAAATTCTGTGCTCTTTCAGCCAGGCTTCATACCTTACGGACTCAGTTGCAGCAGTAAGTACTAGGTAGAGCCAACACAGAGTTGCATAAGAGGTTTAGTATCATGGTGACGAGGTCATGTGTCGTGGCACCGCCTGCGTGGTGAGGGTCTTTGCATAATAAAAGATTACTCTTATACAACGGGTGGTTGGTTAGGCCTCGTTTGTACAGCTCCTCACACTCTGAGATCTCAGCCTGGTTGAGGGGCAGGAATGTGTCCCACCACCATAGACCCCCACCATCACCACTCTCCTGAGGCACCAGATGATCACGGAAGGTCCTCGTCACCATCTGTCTTCCTCTGCCTGGGACTATGCTCTTTCCTAATAACACTGATCTGTTATGTTCTGTGTCCTTTAATGTGGACATCACGTTTACTGTTTTTGTTCTTAGAGACCCTGACCTAACTTGCTCAACTTCTTTTAAATGTAACCTAGAGTTGACCTCTTCTGTCCCTTTTCCTTGGGGCTCTGACTTAACTTTTTCTTTGTTATCGGTTTTGGAGACCGATTTAACTTGCCCTATATCCTTTCTATTGAACTCTGACCTGACAAATCCTGCTTCGTTCTGAGGGGGCGTGACATGTTCTGTAACTTGTCCTCTCTCCTTCTTAATGAATGCAGCTTTTTCTCTATCCTTTTCTGGGGACCCTGATCCCATACCTCTCCTGTGATAGTCCATCACTCCATATTTGTGGTGGAAGCCGGCAGAGGACTGAGTGAATGCACACGGACCCTGAGTAGTTTGGTTTGTTGCTCTAGAGCGATGCAGCTGCTGCTGGAACATCATCTCAATCCAGTCGAAATTGGCGTTGCTGAAAGCAATTCGGTTGTTGTAAAGTTTATGATGACTGTGTGGTCTGAGGCGGCTCTGGGCAAGCACCAACACTCGCGTCTTCTTTGAGATCTGTAAGTAAGTTTATTAAAATATACACAAATGTAGTTATGTAGATTATCATACATAGCAGTATAGGTGTGTAGAACCTTGGATAACCCAAAAAATCAGACAAAGAGATTTATTTCCATTGGAATTCATAAGAGACAATGTAGTGCATGAGGGAAGGATACGTGTGAGAGGAAAATCTTCAATTTTAAGTGAGTAAAATCTGTATTCTGTTGGAAAAATGAGAAACCTTTGGTTAATTATGTAATACAATCTACCAAATTCACATGAAAATAATACTAATACTAAGGAAATTACATGAATATAAGAATCATATCCTAAGTAATATTAATTGTAATTAGGTATCCCCAGATAGAAATGGAATACTTATAGTAGTTATCTGATCTAATTCAAACTTTTAAACCTTTTGTATCTTAGTGGAAGGTTTTATTTTTTTATTATTCTTCTTTTTTAACACAAAGGTCGTCTCCCACCAATGTAGGGTGACCCAAAAAGAAACACTTTCACCATCATTCATTCAACAGCTGCAGACATCACAGATGAAATGACTCTTGGAACCGCTTCATTCCTACCCCCTTCTTCAGAGTGAATATCCTAATGTATTTATCCAATAAGGAAAAATGATCTTGGTTCTACACTGAGAGCATTTATTTAAATATATAACTTAACTTAAAATGTGTGTAGATTATTGTTTTCATTGTAATAACTGGAGAATGTATCTACTTATTGTCTTCAAACTTTAAGTATTGATGCATTTTACTCAAAGGAAAACTAACAATATTATTACACTTTGTGAACTCTATAATATAATATAATATAAGATAATATAATGTAATATAACAATAATAATAATAATAATAATAATAATAATAATAATAATAATAATAATAATAATAATAATAATAATAATAATGATAAATAATAATAATAATAATAATGATAATAATAATAATAATAATAATAATATAATAATAATAAATAATAATAATAAAAAATAATAATAATAATAATAATACTAATAATAATGATAATAATAATAATAATAATAATAATAATAATAATAATAATAATAATAAAATAATAATAAATAATAATAATAATAATAATAATAATAATAATAATAAAATATAAATAATAATAATAATAAT